CACCCGTGATTGCTGGTCCATGGGCGCACATGTCCTCTGTCCCGCTCTCCTACAATCATTATGTACTCTGAGACCCCCCGTCGCCCTTGTCAACCCTAACGTTTGTTTCGTCCATGCCAAGCCCTGTTTTTACATACAGAGGGGATTACCTTTGACCATGGAGAGCAGGAGTGTCCCTACATTCACTTGCCATCAACCACTTGCGATTCATCAATGCTCTACGCGTGACTTCTGTAATTACTGACTCAATCTGGCCAGGCGCTTGTGCTGGGGTCCCAGCCAGCCCTGAAAATCACGCCGCAGGCCACGATGGATGCCGCCGCTTGAGCGCAAGGCTCTGGCAGCGGCTCACAACATGGGTCGCTGCTCTTTGTTGCGCACGCGCAGCCACACCGCCGCTGCTGCGTCTCCACTCGGACTGCACAGCTGATGGGGCCGTTGCTGCCCACCCCCCCGCTGCTTGCCCCGATGACTCGCTGTCGGTAGCGCTGCGGGCCGCACGCCTCCAAGCTCAGGGTCGCAGGCTGTGAGGGTGGCGCCAGCCCGCTGCAGGTCTGCGCCGCTGCCGCGGCCGCCAAAAGCCAGGGCTCGCAGTCCGCGTCCGCCACGCGCTGCGCTGCACCCCCGGTCACAGCCACACCACCCGCGCGGCGCAGCCGCCTCATGGTCGCGTGGCGCAGCACACCGCCGGGAGACGCGCCGTGACGGCAGGCTTGCGCCAGCAATTTTGACGGCGCCCCGGGGTCCTCAGCCGCTGCACTTTGCACCATGGGTGGCAGGTGCTTCGCAGCCGATGCCACTAAGGTGCTGAAGAGAGACGCATCGCGGGAGCAGGGCCCCGACAGAGTGAAGCAGCCTGTGCCTACGTCCAGCTTCAAAGCACAGAGCAGACCATGCTGCTGCTGCTGCTGCTGCTGCTGCTGTTGCTGCTGCTGCTGCTGCTGCTGCTGCTGTTGCTGGTGCTGCTGGTGACCACCACCAGGTGCGGAGCTACTACCATCGGCAAATCTGCTGCGGCCCATGATCCGAGACTGCAAGCGCCGCCACAGGGGACTCGGCCCTCCATCCACGGGGGCGCTTGCTGCTGCCACCAGATAGCCGTCCTGCGCTGCTGTGGGTGCTGGCGTCCCGTAGGACCCCCCGAGCTGCAACTGCTGACCACAACTAATCTCGCGTCTGTCCAGTGTTGTTAGTTGCGCCATGTGCCCTGCCAGTGGGGACTTGGCAAGAGCGATATCCAGCTCTTTGCCCGCTGCTGAGATGACAGCCCGCAGCGCACTGCCCGCCGCTTGCGATGCTGCATCGATGGTGGAACGACTGGCCTGCGCGACGGTGTTGAACTCAGCCGCTGCTGCTCCTGCTGCTGCGTCTGTGTTGAAAGCCGTGCTGCTGTGACCTGGCAGAGAACCTACCGGGATGCAGGACACGCACCCGTCAAGCACAACGACAAGGGTGTGCGGCCCCAAGGCAGCAATCACGATGCAGCACGCCCGCCACTGCCCATCACCCTCTCCCTCGCCCGCTGCGCTGTTCGCGCCGCCAGCGCCGCCATCCTGGCTGGCGCCCGGTGGTGGCAGGAAAGCGTCCTGCACCGCCAGTGCTGGCGGGTGCATTGCGCTGCGGCCGAGCAGGCCCAGGGACCAGGCCAGGTTCCAGGCCAGACGCGTTGCCATTGGGCTGAGATGGGTTGACACGACGCAGGGCCTGGGGTTGTTGCAGCAGGGCACCGTGTGACCGTTAAGATTGCAGATGCTTGGACTTGCAGCTGCAGAGCTCTGCTTGCGTTGCTCAAACCCACTCGCAAATATGCTGCCGTAATAGTAACCACACAGACATGCGCTGCATCGTGGCCGCACCCCGCATGCTCACCCAGAGAACAGGCAGCAGCTGGGTGCAGCAGGTGCTGCGGGGCCAGCCCCCCCGGCGTCGTCACCGAAGACCCAGGGGGGTGCCACCCGCGCAAGGGGCGCCAGGCACGCCGCCACACGGGCCGACACATGGGGGGCAAGCCGCATCTGCGGCGGACCCAGCAGCATGGCCGCTGCCGCAGCTGCGGGGCTCCGTTCAAACGCTGCCAGGATCCGCTCAAACGAGTCGCGCAGCACGGCATCGAGGGGCTCCAGAGGCGAGGGCTGCTGTCCGGCAAGCAGGGCGCCGCCTGACAGCAGGAAATGCACCCCTTCCACCAGCCACAAAGCCGCCGCATGCGCCACGGATTCGCTGACATTGCCACGGCTACTGCTGCTGCTGCTGCTGCTGCTGCTGCTGCCGTCTCCCCACAGCTCCGGGAGTGCCACCACCACCAGCGCGCGCTGCGCGCACGGGCCCGCGTGCTCAAAGAACGCCAGGTGCAGCGGCGGCGCCCCAGGGCGCCGCGGGCGCAGGCGCGCGCTGCGCAGGGTGAGGCCACAGCAGGCGGCGCCGGCGCCCGAGAGGGCGACTGCCAGGTTCTTCAAACGCTCCAGGTCGCCCGGAGCTGCGGCCATGCTGCTGCTTCCGCCACACGCACCACTACGACTTCGTGCATGGCTGCCGCTCGATCCGCCGCCACTGCTGCGCTGCCCGTGATGGCTGTACGCATGCAGCAGCTGCACAATGAACATGGAATGGGGCAGCGCGACAACCAGCGCGTGTTTGACCGCCGCTTTGCAGGTGTCAGGGAATGTCACGCACTTGCTTTTGATGTATTTATTGCATGCGAGCGGGGCTGGCAAGCGGGCGAGCTGTGTAGGGGCTGGAGGGCAGATGCAGCAATGCGCGCAAGTGTAGCGCGCCGCTGCTTGCAAGGATGCCCGTCAGCGACGCAAGCTCACCCGCGGCGCGGCATCGCTGCCAATGTTGCCTTTAGCCTGCAGTTCAATAAGGAGGAGGCCCACAAAAGCATCATCAGCGCTCTGCATGCTTCTAGGTGTCCATCGATGCAGTCCAAGCTGCGCAGCTCACATATACGAAGCGGTCATGATGCAAAATTGCACCTCTGTAATTGTGTGTAATGAAGTATGAACGTATTTTGAGTACGTCTCCAGCCACCAGATAGATCACATGCACTTGCTTCGCGCCCGCTGCGGCGGCCCTGGCTGCAGTAGGAGACCATGTGCGCAATCTAAATTGACAGAGGTTGCTGGTCTTGGCCGTGGGCGGCCCATAGGCCCTCGCCCCGCCAATGCGGTGCCCGAGGATCTCACGGCGAGGCAGGATGGCCCGCTTCAAGACGCCAGCTTCTCAATGACATTCGTGGACGAGCCGCAGACCGGTCCCAGTGGCACGTGGGACGCGACGGCGTCAGAGGACGGCGACTTGCTGCTGTCACTGTCTGATGCTGGGGGGCCGCTCACCAGCGGCGAGCCCACAGAGGAGGAGGACAACCCCTACACCGAGGAGGACGCCTCTGCCCACGGGTGGGTCCTTTTCTGAGCCTTTGCGCAGGCGTCTACTTGCGTGTGATTGCAATGGCATCACAAAGAGTCGGGTGGCGGTGGGGGCGGGGCAGCGCTGTTCGCTTGTTGATGCGCAAAGGACCCGCACGCAAGGGAAGGATACGGCGTGCACGCCAGCAGCACACAGCCCAGGCCTGCAACATGTGTCAGCACATGCCCTCGCCGACTGCTGGCGGCGGCCCCCGCCTCGCCCCCGCGCAGCCGCCCGCCCGAGGCGCCGCCATCCGAGGCCGGCAGCGCGCTGCTGGAGGAGCTGCTGGCGGACGCGGCCGCCGGCGCCCCCGTGACGCTGGAGCGGCTGGAGGGCATCTTCCCCTTCCCCCTCGACAGCTTCCAGCGCAAGTCAGTCGCGGCCCTGCTGGAGGGCAAGAGCGTCGTCGTCTGCGCCCCCACGGGCGCCGGCAAGACGGCGATCGCGGAGGCGGCGGCGGCGGCGGTGCTGGCGCGGGGTCAGCGCGTGATCTACACGACGCCCCTCAAGGCGCTGAGTAATCAGAAGCTGCAGGAGGCGCGCGCGCGGTTCGGGACGGGGCGCTGCGGCCTGCAGGTGAGGGCGGGCCCTGGGAGGCAGGGACTGCGGCGTGCAGCTGTGGGGCGCATGCACATGCAGCTGTGGCGTCTGCGCGTTGTTTGATTGTGCGGCTGGCGTGGAGTGCGTGCTGCTGTTGTCGTGTGGGCAGGGCGGGCTGGACGATGAGTAAAGATAGGGCAAAATCCGAACCTCCAGCGTGTCGTGAAACCATCTCAAGGGAACTTGACCTCTGACAGCCCCCGCCACTTGGATATTGTTGTAGTCTTTTTGTTGATGCTCAAACAGCGTGATCATAGCTCAGCTATTATGGTTGGCTTCTGCTGGCACAAACCCCCGCCCTCTCCAACACACATATGCGCCTTTGCACTCACGCACCGCCACCCATCCCCCCGCGCCAGACGGGCGACCTGTCCCTGAACCCTGACGGCTCCATCGTGGTCATGACCACAGAGATCCTGCGCAACATCATGTACAGGACGGCAGAGACGGCCGGACGTGAGCGGCGGCAGGACAAGGGGGCTGGGCGCAGTGGGCAACGGCCGGGGGGCATCTGGTGGTATGCATGTGCAGATGGATGGCCCAGCTATCACCTGTGGCACACAAGCCAAGTTTGGAAGGCTGCGGCCTGGTGGACGCTTGCCCCGCGTCTCACCTGCCGTCCACGCTCCCATTGGCCCCGTGTGCAGCCTCCAGTGGTGGCGCCACGCGTGCTGAGCGGCTGGGTGATGTGGGGCTCATCGTGCTGGACGAGGTGGGGT